CAGGCCTGCAGGAGGCAGCCAATCATGTGCTCTCTCTCTCCCCCTTCTCCCTCTCTCTTTCTCTAAAAATCAATAATAATAATAATTAAAAAATAAGTAAGACATTTAAATAGCTTTAAATGAATTCTTGGTAGGGAGGAAGAAAATGTTCAGAAATAACTGTCAGTTGTTTTTAAAGTGCCTACTATGTGGAGGTTACCAACTGTGACAGAAAAAAGCTTCACAGTGGAGCAGGTCCCAGCATGTCTCAGGTGAAAATGAAAGGAAACAAGTCAGGAACAAAACACAGAGCTTGGGAGGTTAGAGATAATGGGTTGGAGTTATAGAGCAAAACCTTCAGGGCTGGAGATTCAGCCTTGGAATCCTTTGCTGGATAGGGAGGAGGCCTGGAGGAGAGAGCAACCAGAGAGAGAAAATGGTGAAGGTATTTTGGCTGGACATATAAATGAGGAAGTAGAGTGGCCTATAGGTGTCACAGAATTCTAGGGAGGAGGCATTTCAAGATGAAGGGGGGAAAGTGAGAATGACGCTGTGTTGTGACTGTAACCTCAGGTGAGTAAGTGAACTCAGGGATAAATACAAGTTATGGGGACAAGTAATAGCAAGAAATAGAATTTGATATGGAGAGAAACAGGGCTAAAGTTAGGTGGGAGAGCAAGGTCAAACAAAGGGGGTGTCCCGGGCATGAGAAACATAAAAGACCTCTGGACAGCAGAGAAGAAGAGGCTAATGAAGAAGAGACTGAAGATGCTAGAACAAGTCTCCTTAATGAAGTAAAAACTGCTTAAATAAAGTAGAGTGGAGACTATGGGCTCAGAGACACAAGTTAATGGGCAGCCATATAACAGGGAAGAAACTTCAGGTAAAGAAGGAAATAGTACTGTTGAAGGAGGGAGGGAAAGGTAAATAAGAAATCTATTACCTGAGGGTCTCTCTTGATAGCCTGGGCTATGGGCAGCCTTGGAGGTGAGCAAAATGAAGTTAGAACAGATCCCATGGCGGGAAGAGACTAAAAAACTCCCAAAGTAAGGATTGCTGAGAAGTAATCAAGACCTCAGGCAAACAATGAACACCTCTGGAGTATTTAGGTCTTAAGATTTTTTAAAGACCTTTTTTTTTTTTTTTTT